TGCAACTCCTTGGCAATACTGGTAAGTCTGGATAACAGGTAAGCACAGCAGAGCCAGGACCCAGGAAAAAGAGGAAACATGGAGTCAAAGTGCCTCATACAAATGAGGGAGACGAACAATTTGACGGAGTTCTGCTGTCCTTCTAGCTACTATTCAGGATAATGTGATTGAACACAGGTGTAGATGGCTCCCAGTGGAGGCCATGCCCGAAGGCAGACTGAGGAAAACGTCAGCTTACTTCACCACCTGCACAGAAAAAGAAAAGAAAAGAAAAAGAAAATTTAATACATTGGATGTCCTAATTATGTTTTTGTGAAAAATCTTGCAAAAGTAATTGAAGTGTACTATTTTTTGTGTTGTTTAAAGGTTTCATTAGAATATCAGGCATTTTGTCATATTTAGTGCAGTATTTTGGGGAAGATTACAGCAGGCTGTGGCTTACATGGTCAATGTTTGGATGTACATCAAGGGCAGCAGACATCAGTTTATATTTAAGGTCATGATTAGATTCACTCACTGAATTCAAATTTTTTGCTTTACAGCGTCAAATTGTGGAAAATCAGCCGAATAGCTCATGAAACATCTGCGTATATCTTGTTTAATTCAGTGGGATTATTCACAGCGTGCACACTAAGAAACTCACAAAACAAGTTGTTATGTGACTTATTTCTAAGCAGTTTTTTCCCCTATGCTGCACCTCTACACCTGATCCTCGGTTCCCTCACCTGCTTCGATCCCTGCTTTTAGGAGAACTTTTCCTTGTCTGTATAATTCAGACCTCCTCTCTTGTCTCATCCACCAGGATGGTAACGGATGTATTGATGAGCAGGAGCTCGATGCTCTGCTGAAGGACCTCTGTGACAAGAACAAAATGGTAATGAATAGTCAGCCTATTGATTAATCAGTTCAGGTTACTTGTCTACTTGCTAAATATAGAGCAGAGATGAGATTGCTGTAGTGTAGAGTATGCTTATCCGCTGACTCGGTGTGCCCGTGTCATTTATGGCAGGACGTGGACTCAACCGGACTGGAGGATTACAAGAAGAGCATCATGGCTCTATCAGATGGAGGGAAACTGTACCGCACTGAGATGGAGATCGTCCTCTGCCGGGACTCCATGCTGTGACTCCTCTGCCTGGGACTCCTCCCCCCACTGCCTCCTCCTTCCTACCTCCTGATGTAACCTGCTGCATGTATGACCCCCAGCCTCGCTACACCACTTAGAGTGAAGACAAAAACGCTCCTGAAAGCACAGTGTACTGCAGCCCTGCTGTTTAGTCTTTGTACCATCAGAGTTTCTTCTTCTTCTTTTCTAAACATGCAGTTCAATAGTGAGACAGCTAGCAATGACTAAAGGAATATATTGAGTATTTATTCATTTGATGTCCCGTTTTTGATATGCGTTTCTATTTTTAAATTAATTTCTGTCGACATATGTTCCCCTCCTGTTGAATTCAAGTTGAATGCTTCTGTTGAATTTGTTTATTTATTTCAAACTCATTCACCATTTATTATTATGAGCTTGTTTTATTTGATGAGGCTTGTACTGTTTACTAAAGATATTACCGAAAGAATGAATAAATATAACATGACAGCTCTTGTCCCAGTTATTCACTCGCATCAAAAGAAGTCCCACCAGTGCATAAATACTGTTTTGTTACACATCAGCTAGCAGGGGGCTTGTTTCCACTGTGCCACAGCTGCCGCAGTAAGACGTTGATGTAGTCTGTTCTCACTCCTAGTGTCTCGTGGCGAGTACAACTGCAGGACAGATGCCCAGAGCAAGAGTGTTTTCTCCAGAGCACTCCACCTTCACTTTCTAATCTCCTGGTACCAGAAAGTGTGATGTAAAAGGAGCTTGTGCTACTCCATTTTTTATAGAGGAGAGCCTCAGAGGCACCAGTCTTTGAGATGAAGTCAGCAGAGGAAGACGAGCCAGAATACGAACAACAAAACAGCAGTAGGATGATTGCCTCGCTCTTTCTGAAACAGATAAGATAAGATAAGATAACCTTTATTAGTCCCACACGTGGGAAATTTGTTTTGTCACAACAGGAAGTGGACAGTGCAAAAGTTATGAGGCAAAAATTAGAATACAATAAGAATAAATACAGTACACAACTGTACAGAATAGAATAAAATAAAATACTATATACAGTAGAATAAAATAAAATAAATATACAATAAGATAAAAATAGAATACAAAAACAAATACTATATACAACTGAGTAAAAATACAACGATGACAGAAAGGATTATAGCAAAAACCTGGTATAATGCAGCAAAATATAAGAAATGATTGGTGATGTTAGTTAACTGGAACATAGTCTCCACCACAAAAGTGATCTTCCAGATATTTTCTATAGATTATGTGTGGAATAGTTCACCAAAACTGGAATAACATGAGGAAGAAGGCTCCAAAAGATGTGATTACACATCACTGGTATTTACATACTGGCAATTTTCAGTTGCTTTCTATATGAGAAGAGGGTCAACACCCCCCCGTACTTCAGCGCAATGGAACAGTCTACCTTTCATCAATTAATCATCAACTCTTTCATCTTTAATTAAACTCACTATCTTTAAAGCACACCCCTCCATGTACACCATCGCTGCCACTGCACACACTCTCAAAAAGTGCAGCAAATCTTAACTGTCACATACATGTGGGCATGCACACACACATATAACTTCCACAGCAGAGCACAGAGTGAAAAACTGGGCTGCAGATCGAGCTGTTAACTGCTGACAACAAGGAAACGAGAGTTATATCCGCTCTGATTCCCTCACACTCATCAGTCCCACTCGGCGAGAGGAATGAGACAAGCAGATGAGAGCCGTGAGAGTGTTTATATTATACACACACGCACACACACTCACACAGGTTTTGAGTTTAAAAGCATTTGCTATGGAGCTTTTTTAAAATCTCATATATACTTATCTTTATGTTATGAGCAAATTATGTTAATATTAGAGGCTGCTGTAAAATATTTTCCTGTAGTTCTGTCTGTGCAGGACCCATACAGCCTGGCATTTCGTTTTTACGTGACTTATTCCATCTTTATCCTCTTTATCTCCTGTTTTACATCATACATTGCATTCTTTAACCTCCAGAGTCAAGCTTTTGGTTTGGGATGCATTTTTAATTCCCCTGAGTTATTTGGGATTAGTTGGACTAACCATTGTTTTTGAAGAGAATATTGTTTTTTCTTTATTTTTTAAGCAATGCGCTCATATGGGTCATTGGCTGTTTCTACAGTACAACACAATTGTTTAACAAGTTCAAGAACAACTTTATTGAGTAAAATGAAGCATAAGGTGCAACGAAACCAAAATGTAACATCCCAGTATGGGGACACAGGGTTTCAGGAGGACTCGCAGATACTTTACAAATTTTTTTTTTCAAGTTGATTCGAGCATCTACCTCCTGGATCAGGTGTTTCAGGCCCAACCGGGAGGAGACCCTGGGCTAGACTGGGACACACTAAAGAGATTATGTCTCTCAGATGGTTTTGGAACTCCTCACTGTCTTCCTAGAAGAGCTGCGAGTCACTGGGGAGACAGAGGTCCCTGCTTAGACTGCTGCACCCACCACTCTGACTCCGCTTAGAGACACAAAGCTGATGTGTGGCAATTTTTGTTTTACGTCTTTCCACTGGTGCAGCAGGACTTGTTGACATGTATATTAGTTTGATTTTTGCAGACTTTATGCTGCCTGTAAAAATCTGTACAAACATTTTTTCCTTCTTATTGTCTGTCTCTTGTCCTCTACCTAAACCACACCAAGGACCGAAACGCACACTGAAGTGAAACACGAATATTTTTATTTGAGTACCCTGTTTTAAATCTACACAGCTGAAGTCACAGTACTATTACAGGGCAATTAAAAAGCAATAATGATGAATGCACTCATAGGTAGAACATATAATGTTCTTTGCAGCTGGATGGCCACAAGGTGCATAATAACGGCCATCCAAGCTTTTTTACACATTAAAATTCAAGGAAGTATTGTTAAGGGCTCTGCACTCCCTCACAGGTGTTTCATTTATTCTGCTTTATGAGACGTCAGATAAACAATGAGTGGAAAAGCTGGGAACCAAGTCTTGATCCCAGTAAGAGTAATAAAACTATTATCCACTTTAGTTTCAGGGTCCTGGTTTGTGCATCTGGGCTCACAGTGTTATGACTTACTGGGGCTCTGTAATAGAACAAAGCCATCATTTTTCCTGCATGTTTATTCCCAAATAAAATAAACCGCCTCCAAATGATTGCTATGAAAAAAAGACCAGTATGGAGCAAAGTAGTTGTTTATGTATGCACGGCCTCGCATACTCATATATTCCTCCGATCACCGAGAAAGATAATAAACCTTACAGGTCTTAGATTTAAAAAACAAAACAAAAAACAGCAGACTGCACCAAACAAGCTCTATCTTGTTAGGAACCCTGCGCATCACCAACATGATTGCAAGAAGAATAAAACAATTGTGTACTGATATCTTCCTATTATGAAACTTTGTTTTCACCACTGGAAAGAGGATTTTTTTTGCCATCTATAAATCAGAATTTCAGGTTATTATCTCAAATTTTTGACTTATTACCTCAAACTTCTGAGAAAATAACTATAACCTGAATATAATAACACAATTTTTTGACTTATAGACTGAAAAATGTGTTTTCAGTGGCAGAAACGAGCTTCACTTGTTTTGTTCCTGTATATTTCTGTCAGTATTTCTATTGTCAGATTAAATTTGTTGTCAGAACTCTTTGCGTTAGTTTTTTCCAAATAATAAAAATAAATAGACACTATTTAAGACACTATTTTACATTGTGCCGATTACTAAATGTGATAAATGCACTAAATGTAATGTTTGTTGGTTCTCTGCACTGCTTTGTGTCCTTTTATAATCACAGAGCTCTGCTTCCTCATGTCTGTCCCTCTCCATCTATGAGCTCAGAACCTCACAGGGAATAAAGAGAAGTAAATAATGAGGGGTTTTTATAAGCCATGGCAACAGAAACATATCACATGTATCCTAGGTAATATTTTCCTAAAGGGCCTCTTCAAAAATCTCAGGTAAGCAGTGAAACATCACTCAGCATTACAGTGAATAACAGGCCTCTCTCACCACTCCTTCCTCTATTCTTTTGCTGGTGCTTTTCCATTTTAATGCTTCTTTTCACTCTGATCTGTTTACATCACAGTTCTTCAGCCTCCTTCTTCTCCTCATCACTTAAACTTCTTTCAGCTCAGTGGTTTTAGCAAAAATGTAGGATGACTTCAATTCTGCTTTGGGGTACGATTTAGTAGCTTTAACATTTATATTACTATTTATTACATATTTATATTACTTGAATCATACTCAGACAAACATATGGTGCAGTCACTAATGATGAACCTTCAGCTACAATCTATTCCAAGTCAAACCCTTGCATGTTACTTGTGACTAAACAAAAAGAAAAAGCTCAAATCTGCATTGTGCTCTTCCTCATGTCTGTCCCTCTCTCTGATGTGGGTTTGCTGGAAATATCCATATCTCCTTTGCACACTGGCAGTCCCACATAAGCCAAGTATACGTCCTGTTCTGTCACTGTGTTGGTGTGCCAGTGAAAGCTGCTGTTTTCTGTCAAGTTACAGAAGAACGTTTTATGGACTTCCAGGCTCTGCTGTGTGATGCTCTTCCAGATTGCTCTTTCCTTCCACACAGACTGAGTGAAAGCGGGGTCGTTGTTCTTGCTTGCTTCTGGAAGAAAATAAGCATGACTGACATCTTCATGTAGAGCAGCACTGACTGCAGAAGCCCCTTAACATCAAACCACAGCTCATTCGTGCACCCTGAATGATTAGAGGGCCACAAAGAATAAGGGAGTTTAACAGAAAAGGAGTTGGGCGACTGGATGTTAATATGGAAGCAAAGATTATTGCAATGTGTTTGTAAAGGTTGGATCCCAATGTAAACTTTCAGTCTTCCTGTCATTTGTTATGTTAGTGGAGCTGTTTAGCTCCCAGGTCACATTTGTGGGGTGCTGGCAGTTCTGGGTGGCTGTTTCGGGCTTTTCTGTGTGCAGTTTACACACAGCCATGCTCCTGCTTTCTCTGGATGCTGACTTACTCCCACAGACCAAATGCATGCATGTTAGCTTAATTGATGATTATCTATTTGCTATGAGTGTGGATACAAATATAAATGGTTGTGGACCGGCAATTTGTACTCTGCCTCTTCCCCTGGATAAAAGGTTGGATACATAGCTAATTTGGATTGTTGGCTGGTACACATATAGTGACATTTGACATATGTAGGTCTCCATCTAGTGGGAAGAATCTGTACACGGACACAGGAAATGGCAATTCTTTATTTTACTTCCTTGAAAGAAACAGCACAATCTTCTGCAGTGTGTCAGGTACAATCATGTGCTTGATTTTTTATGTTAAACACTGAAGTGTGAATGAACTCCATCTTCTAATATTTTTCACAGCGATCATCAAAATTACTATGGTAAGGATGTATAAAGCTTAAAAAGAGACAGTTTTAAGCCATATTATGAGACACCTTCTGACTTTACAGTCATCAGAACTGAAGAAGCTTCTCGGATG